CAAAAAAACAAACCAAATAGATAAACAGATATTTAAGGGAAGGATGTTCCAGGGCACTATAATGTTTTAAGCTCATATCTATTTTCTTTCTCCCTTCCATCCTTTATTCTAAGCCTTCCCCTTTTCAATAAATGTATCACTATTAACTTAGATGTTTGAGTTAAGAACTCAATAGTCTTTCTTTTTTTTATTATTTCAAAATATTATGGGGGTAAAAATGTTTTGGATTATATGTATCAATTTTGTTATGCTTGAGTCAGGGCTATAAGTATGCTCATCACCCAGATAGTGTTCATTGTACCCATTAAGTAGGTTTTCACCCGTTCCCCCTTTCCCTCCCTCGTGCTTAATTTCCACGGAATTTTACTTCCCTTTGTGCACATGTGTGCCCATTGGTTAGTTCCAATTTAATAGTGAGTACATGTGGTGTTTGTTTTTCCATTCCTTAAATACTTCACTTAGTCTCCAGTTCCATCCAAATTGTTACAAAAGACCTTAATTCATCCTTTCTTTATGGCTGAGTAGTATTTCATAGTGTACATATACCACATTTTGTTAATCCACTCATGAATTTTTGGGTATTTGGATTGATTCTGCATCTTTGCAATTGTGAATTGTACTGAAGTAAACATTCTAGTGCAGGTGTCTTTTTGATAAAATTACTTCTTTTCCTTTGGGTAAATACCCAGTAGTAGAATTACTCAATCAAATGGTAGGTCTACTTTTAGTTCTTTGAGGGGTCTCCATACTGTTTTCCATGGAGGTTGTACTAACTTGCATCCCATGAACTGCAAAGCGTTCCTTTCTCTCTGCATCCACACCAGCATCTATTATTTTTGGACTTTTTAGTAAAAGCCATTCTAACTGGAGTAAGGTGATACCTCATTGTAGTTTTAATTTGCATTTCCCTGATTATTAGTGATTTTTTCATGTGTTTATTGGCCATTCATCTATCTTCTTTTGAAAAGCTTCTGTTCATGCCTTTTGTCCACTTTTTAATGACATGTTTGTTTTTTTCTTGCTGATTTGCTTGAATTCTTTGTAGATTCTGGTTATTAGCCCTTTATTGGATGTACAGCTTGCAAAAATTTTCTCCCATTCTGTAGGTTGTCTATTTGCTCTGTTGATTGTTTGCTTGGCTGTGGAGAAGCTTTTTAATTTAATCAAGTCCCATTTATTTATTTTTGTTGTTGCCGTGATTGCCATTGGGGTCTTTTTCATAAATTCTTTGCCTAAGCCAATATCTAGAGAGTTTTTCCAGCATTTTCTTCTAGTTTTCTTATGGTTTCATGCCTTACATTTAAGTCTGTTGTTCAGCTTGAATTAACTTTTGTGAGTGGTGAGAGAGATGGATCCTGTTTCAATCTTCTGCATGTGGCTATCCAATTTTCCCAGACTTCAATCTATACTACAAGGCTATAGTAATCAAAACAGCATGATATTGGCACAAAAATAGAGACGTAGACCAATGGAGCAGAACAGAGAACCCACATATAAAATCATCCACAAACAGCCAACTGATCTTTGACAAAGCAGACAACAATATACACTGGGGAAAAGAAGCCTTATTCAATAAATGGAGAGTCATTCTTGATTTCTTTCTTTTTCTCAACTCTTATTCCTTGTCTATCAGAAAGTCTTATTGATTCTAGTCCCAAACATATCTTTCTGTTCTCATTGCCACCAACCTAGGTGGTCCCTAGGCCACCATCATCAGTAATTTCACATTTATTTCATACCTCCACTTTAATCCATTTCCTACTAAGCAGCAAAAGTCATCTTAAAATATAAATTAGAGTTTGTAATTTGTGTAACTTAAGCCTTTTAATGCCCTGAGACACTCTTCCCTTAGATCTCTGTTTGGTTTGCTTCCTCCAGTTCTCTGCTCATAGGTTACCTTATCACAGAGGCTTTCTTGTATATCCAAGATTTTCAAGTAGAGATTTCAAGACAATTAGATGTAAGAACTCTGTAAAACTCACAGATGATATGAAATGAACATATCAGCATGGGAGCATCAGCATAGAGGCAGCATTTAAACCCAGGTGAGCACATATGTGACCCTCAGGCAATATGTGGAGAAACAGAGGACAGGTCTTGAGACATTCTCTCAGTTTGAGCTGAGGTAGAAAGTGAGGAACTGGCAAAGGGCACTGAGAATGTGATGCCAGTGTGGTAAGATGGTATTCTGAAACACTGTAGAAGAGACAATCCCATGAAGGAAGGAATGCTTAGCTACATCAAACAATGGGAGTTGAGTGGGATGAGAGTAGAAAAACACTCATGGATTTAGCACTTGGAGTCAGTGACATGTTGTGAACAGAAGCCAATTTGGGATGGATTGAAGAGTAAATGAGGGGGAAAAAAATGGAAGCAAACAGGACATACAACTGCTTCTGGAAGCTTTACTATGTAATTTAATTAATGTTATAATTTAGCACTTAGCAAGTGTGACCTGTCAGCTTCCTCCAGATATCCTGCAGTCTGGTCCCATACACAAGGGTGAATAGTGCTAAAATCTGGATTAGTTGCCAACTAGCTTTAATAGATAAAACAGCAGAAGGAAGTCCCTTTTTTCTCAGTTCACTTACTGGTTAAATCTCAGAGTATTGTCCTTATTTCACCACTCACAGCTTGGATGAGACACCATATCTGGGATGAGAAAGCAGAATGCTGGCTGAAGATTAGACTTTATTCTAATGAAGTCTTACTTACTTTCTTCCCCTCACCTCCTTCCCATGTACCTTGCCAGTTAGCGGCAAGGCTACCTCTTTCTTTCTCTGCACTGTTAAATAAAATCCTGAGGTATGGTTGTCTTTGGGCTTCAGAAGGGGTAGCAAGGGAATTTAAGGGAATTAGAGAAGTATTGATAAAGTTTAGAAACTATTATTTTTAATTAATTTATTTTATTTCTTGAATTCTTTTTTATCAGTAGATCAATAGAATGTTCTACAGTGTTTCTTTCATTGTTGATTTTTTTTCTTCAGTCTATGAGGTTTATCATACAGAAGTGTGTTATAAGAAATTAACATTTGGTAATTATAAGGAAATGTTTTAACTTCATTTAACATCTCTAACAGATAGGATATGAATATATTAAATTATTTGCACTAAAAAAACTTCATAACTTTTATGATTCTTCTATATGGTGTAGCTTTTATTAAGCATTTTAGACAATTGATAAGCATTATTCAGTGGCATATGGTCCGAGTCTGACATGCTTTGAAAAGAGTACAGAGTTCTGATAATGAGGATTCTGCGAAAATGAGAAAACCAGCACAACAGATATGCTTTGAGAAAGTATGGGTTTTTAGCATCTTGAAACAATATATCACACTCAAAGGGACAGAACTGGACTGCACAATCTGTTAGCTCATTCTTGTCCAATCTGGTCTCCTCCTTTCTTTTGGAGCCAGCATTGTCATCAACTCACTGAATTATATTCTGACTGGAATGTATTTCAGGCACACAGTAATGTATCTACTTAAATGGAATCCTATCTTTCTACAAAAGCTTTTTCAGTATAATAAATTTAAAATATAAAAAAAAATTCTATTAAGTTAAAGTAAATGGTTCAACAGTTTACATATGTGCCTCCTTCCCACTACCCTAAAAAAAAAAAAAAACACTACTTAGAAAAGATCTGTTTTTCTTTTATGTACAATATTGAATAATTTTTTTGGTTTAACTGTCAGGTGGTCAGACATATTTCAAAGGCTGTTTATTGGAAAGGTATCTATACATTACAACAAATATTTGTTGAACAGAAATGAACTGTAAAGTTAAAACTTTTATCAAAGTGTTTTAATTATCAGGGTTTTTTTTATTCTATAGCAGCTCACTTAATAATAATTAAGCCTTAATGTCCTAAGGCATCTATTTTATGTAATGAACAAACTTGTCTGCTATCCATGTAGAATGGTATCAGCCATCCTTAGAAAAATTGAGAAGATGGTAACCCAAATATTTTTCATGGGGCTTAATTCTCTCATGGAAACAGTGTTGAGAAAGCCTATTCTATAGTATTCAAAATCACTGAATCTTTTCAGTCTAAATAAACTGGGTTGTGTAAATGAATTATGTGTCATATTAGAACTACATTACTTATGTAAGAGATTAAATGAGATAATTTTGTAAAGTGATAAGCATAATGACTGGCATATAATCAGTGCTCAACAAATAATATCTATTATCATCATCTTAAGCTTTCATTATTCTAAGTTCCTAAATATTTTGCTTATGTTGTGATGTTTTGATCATGTTGAAACTTGTTAAAGTATAATAACAAAGATGTGTATCATTTAATCCAAAAAATTATATTTTCAAATTTGTACAGTCTGTCCTAATAATATTTCATGCTTAATGATTAACAACTATTAATTTTGCTTTTTTATGATGTTCAAATAATTCTGAATTCATCCACAGAAACCATGTAATAAATGAAGGGGTTTTTTGTAATTGTCCTCATGAGGATTTTAAGTCTTTGCCAGTTCATATAGGCAAATAATTCCTTTTAATGCATTGATTTATGTGAAACTGGGAGTGAGGATAGTAAGAAACAGCTAGCCTTCCCTGATGCAAAAGGCATGATATTAATGCCTTACTAGACCTCCTGCCATAGGATTTTTTAGCTTTCCTATGGCAAATGGTACATTACTTTTTGGGTATGTTTGGCATTGCCATGGGGAACCATAAATTACACAAGTTATATATACTTATTTAAGTTATAAAACTGAAAAAAAATCCCTCAACTAGTTGTCAGAGCATGAACATTCAGTGAATTAATTCCTGATAGTATAAATTGAAGATATTTTATGCAGTGAACTATTCAATAAAAAGTGGGTAATAGTCTGTCACTTGAGAATAGCTAACATATAATTTATGAGACGAGACAAGCACCTTTTTTTATAGCATGCATTTGGAGTCAGTTTACATATCTTGTGCTAATTTTAAGGTAAAGTGGATTTATGTTAATGCATTTCCATATTCCTGCTTAATAGTTCTTAAAGTAAATAATGCAGGAATATCGGATGGCCATACTTGGAAGGTGAAACAGAGTGAACTGTTTATACATCACATTCAGTTCAATGAACGTTGATAAGTAACATTTCTGATACGTATGTCATTAAAATATCACCCAGTCTGTGCAGTGCTTTTTTTTTTGTTTTTTTTGTTTTTTTTTTTTTTTTTGAGACAGAGTCTCAGTCTTTTGCCCGGGCTAGAGTGCCGTGGCGTCAGCCTAGCTCACAGCAACCTCAAACTCCTGGGCTCAAGCGATCCTTCCTGCCTCAGCCTCCCAAGTAGCTGGGACTACAGGCATGCACCACCATGCCTGGCTAGTTTTTTCTATATATTTTTAGTTGTCCAATTAATTTCTTTCCATTTTTAGTAGAGACGGGGTCTCGCTCTTGCTCAGGCTGGTTTCGAACTCCTGAGCTCAAACAATCCGCCCGCCTCTGCCTCCCAGAGAGCTAGGATTACAGGCGTGAGCCACCGCGCCCGGCCTGTGCAGTGCTTTTTACACATTATAATTATTATAAAGCTAAACCTCATCTTGCTATTTTATGGATTATTAGTATAAAACAGCTTGCTTCCACATAAAAAAACTTAGAAAATTTTTCTGACCATTGAAAATAAAATTAATAAAAACAAAAAGAGTATTTCATTATATGGGTATTTTGGTCTTGTACATTTTTACTAAACTGCAGCAGCCAGCAAAGTTTCTCTTCCTGGAGATTTTGTGATCTACTTATTGGTTTATGCAAGAAAATAAATGTATTGCAAGTATACTTACATATTTAGAGGTGATTAATTGTAGAAGAAAAAAGGAAATGAGATCTAAGGAAAATGTCAGTTTTTCATACTTCTATCTCAGGCATTTAAAATTACACATGTACCTATTTCCAAGTTCCTCCTTCTCAGTTGCTTACTGGTGGAATGTGGTGGTGAGGCTATAAAAATATGCCCTTCTTTTAAATGCTCGTGTATTCTCAAATCACTTGATCTCTGCATTACTGCCCTCATGGAGTTGCCCAGAAAGAACTTCTTTATGCTGTACCTTATGTCTGCAGTCCTCATCTCCTGCGCCATAGACCTGTACTGGAACCAGGCTGGACAGCAGGAGGTGAGCGGAGAGCTAGTAAGCAAACCTTCACCTGTATTTACAGCTGCTCCCCATCGCTCACGTCACCACCTGAGCTCCACCTCCTGTAAGATCAGCAGTGGCATTAGATTCTCATAGGAGCGCAGACGCTACTGTAAACTGTGCACGAGAGGGATCTAGGTTGTGTGCTCCTTGTGAGAATCTAATGCCTGATGATCTGAGGTGGAGCTGAGGCAGTGATGCTATTGCTGGGGCGTGGCTGCAAATACAGATTATCATTAGCAGAGAGGTTTGACTGCACAGAGATCATAATAAATCAATTGCTTGCAGACTCATAAACAAACCGTATCAGTGAGTGGCAAGTGATAGATGCAGTTAAGCTGTATATGATGGCAGGCTTTATAGTGGCAAGTGAGTTGATGTACTTCTCAGTACAGCTGATGTACAGCTGCATCTGGTGGCAGGCTTTCAGTCAGAACCCAACACAGTTTAGTCTGCGTGTGGCCCACCCATTATTTTACTTACCACTTTTGCCTGCACCTCTTTCCCGGACTGCATACTTATCTCAGTCACAGTTTTGGTAAGCACACAAGCTAACCCTAGCAAAAATGAGTAAAAACCAAAAGTCACTGGAGAGCTTCTTTGAAAAGGGGGAACGACCCAATGATGAGACAGCAAAGACTCTGACTGCCAACAAAATGAAAGCCGCGTTTAAAAGAAAATACCAAGAATCCTGCTTAAATTACGGGTTCATTGCAATAGGTGATTCACATTCTCCAAGCCCACTTTGTATAATATGTGGCAACCAGTCATCCAATGAAGCCATGAAAACTTCAAAACTGCTTTGCCACATGGAGACCGAGCACCCTGCCTTTGGAGACAAGCCTTTGGAGTTTTTCAAAAGAAAAAAACAAACACAAAGAACAGAAGCGATTGTCGAAGGGCACCACTTCATCGAATGTGTCTGCACTGAGATCATCATCATTAGTGGCTAACCACATTGCTAAGCTAAGAAGCCCTTTACTATTGGCGAAGAGTTGATCCTGCCTGCTGCTAAGGACATTTGCCATGAACTTTTAGGAGAGGCTACAGTTCAAAAGGTGGCACATGTTCCTCTTTTGGCTACCACTATAACTATAACTAGATGAATTGATGAAATAGCAGAGGATATTGAGGCACGATTGTTAGAGAGGATTAATGAGTCACTGTCGTACATGATCCAGGTTAACGAGTCTACTGATGTTGACAAGGCAAAAATGCTTGTTTTTGTGAGATATGTTTTTCAGGAGGATGTGCATGAGGATATGTTATGTGCACTTTTGTTGCCAACCAACACCACAGCTGCAGAACTATTCAAGTCTTAGAATGATTACGTATCAGGAAAACTGAATTGGTCATTGTGTGTTGATATATGCACGGACAGAGCTGTTGCCATAACTGGACAGCTTTCTGATTTCACTACTCAGGTCAAGGAAGTCGCTTCTGAATGTGAGACTACACACTATGTCATTGATAGAGAAGTGCTGGCTAGCTGAAAAATGTCACCTGAACTAAACAGTGTTTTGCAGCATGTGATTGAAATTATCAACCACATTAAAGTACACGCCCTTAACTCATGTCTGTTTGCGCAGCTCTGTATAAGATGGACACAGAGTACACACATCTTCTTGTTATATAGAGAAGTGAGATGGCTTTCTAAAGGTAGATCACTGGCCAGAGTTTCTGAGTTATGAGAGCCACTCCAGAGATTTCTTTTAGAAAAACAGTCACCACTGTCAGCACATTTCAGTGACACAGAATGGGTCACAAAACTTGCTTACTTGTGTGACATATTCAACCTGCTCAGGGGTTGAATTCAGCACTTCAGGGGAGAATGATAACTGTATTCAAGTTGGCAGATAAAATGGCTTCGTTCAAAGCCAAACTGGTATTATTGGGGTGATGAGTGAACATTGGGATTTTTGACATGTTTCAAACATTAGCAGAGATTTTGAAAGAGACTGATCCGGAGGCTTCTTTCTCCCAGCTGGTGCATTATCACCTATCTCAGCTTTCAAAAGAGTTTGAGCATTACTTCCCAACCACGAAAGACCCCCGAACTGGGAAGGAATGGATCCTTGACCCATTTGTGAATAAACCAGCTGAACTGACTTTGTCATTGCTAGAAGAGGATGGACTGCTTGAGATCGCAAATGACGGTGGCCTTAAAAATATATTTGAGACAACTTCAAATCTCCATACTTTCTGGATTAAAGTCATGGCAGAATATCCTTAGATTGCCACAAGAGTACTCAAACCTGCTTCCATTTCCAACATCCTATCTTTGTGTAGAAGGGTTTTCTGCAGTGACAGCAACCAGAACAAGATTATGGAGTAGACTAGACATAATCAACACACTTCAGGTGTCACTATCTCCCATCACCCCCAGATGGGACCATCTAGTTGCAGGAGAACAAGTTCAGGGCTCTCACTGATTCTGCATTATGGTTAGCTATACAATGATTTCTTTTTATATTACAATGTAATAATAATGGAAATAAAGTGCGCAATAAATGTAATACACTTGAATTATCCCAAAACCATTCCCCCCAACTCCGGGTCTATGGAAAAATTGTCTTCCATAATACTGGCCCCTGGTGCCCAAAATGTTGGAGACCGCTGCCTCATGTTATTCTCTGTGTTAAGAACAGAGAACTACTGTTAAACACAAGGTGACTGGGATTTCTATTTAGTTCTTTATAAGAAGTTTTGTAAGAAAATAACATTTGCTGCTTGTTACCATAAAATTTGTGTTGTATTAAGTATCTTCTACATAGAATGGAAAATAATAGAATATTCAGAGAGTGTAAAATAGGAGTTTTAAAAACCATTTAGGCATATGACAGTTTAGTAAACTTAAATGAGACTGGAAATGAAATCTATTAAAAAATGAATATACTATTTTATATAAAAATTCTGGATATAATAAATTCAGCATTTAAAATACGTGAGGTACATAAGGGCACATATAAGAATAACATTTATTGGATGTCGGGCAGGAAGGGTGGAGAGGAGGGGACGGGTATGTGCATACACAAAGAGTGTGATGCGCACCATCTGGGGGATGGACACGCTTGAAGCTCGGACTTGGGAAGCGGGGGGCAAGGGCAACATACATAACCTAAACATCTGTAACCCCATAATGTGCTGAAATAAAAAATAAAATACATGAGGTAAGTAACTATTTACCTAACATTGCTAGAATAATTGAGTAATTATTTAGGAAAATTAAACTTAGATTTCTGCCATACTTTTTATACAAAAATAAATTATAAGGTAATTAAATGTTTAAAAAAACTATAACAGAAGTTGAAAAAATGGGTGAATATATATTATTTGTATGTATTTGAGGAAAAGTTTTCTAAGCAACAAAACATAATGGACCAATGTAAAGTTTTAGGTCTATAAAGTTAAAAAACACATAAATAAAATGAAGTACAAATAAAAAACTAGATAAAAGTATTTATAGCATATTAAGGACAAGGCGTTGATACCCTCAGTATATAAAGGACTATCACATGCCACTAAGAAAAAAAAGACTATTGCAACCACTTCAGAAATGAAAAAGCTAATTACAAAAGGAAACAGCCGGAATATAAAGTGTTTACTATTGATCAAACAAATGAGAAGTGAAAAAAAAATATACAGGTTTGATTTATTAAAATAATATTCAGCATTTTGAGGGTATAGAAACATGGAGACTCTAATATATTTATAGCTGTGTGCTTTCTAGAAAGCAATTTTTGAATAGGTGTATGTATCCTTACAACATACTCATGCCCTTCTACTCATTATTAAATTTACATGTAGGGCTAATAATAATATCTACTATTACAAAGCTTTAAGGAAAGATTCAATGCATATGTAAGATTACTATTATTCAGATTTACAGATAAAGAAACTGAGGCTTAGAGAGATGATGTGACTTGCTCAGGATTACTGAGTTCAGTAAGAAAGCATAAATTGGAACAATTCTTGTAGGATTATGGCTTATTTTTTTTCATTAATTTTTTGCCTGTATTTTCTAAATTTTTGGCACTGAACCAAAAAGATAAATGAGATGAAGAGAGACAGTGAAATATTTTAGACAACATTATATATATATTAATAATTGTTACTCATTAAGGGTAATGAGTAGATTTTTTTCCCTTGATGCATAAAAATAAGATGGATAATATTTGAACTTTAGTTCATTTGTAGAATATATTCTCACCAAGTAGATATTTTTTCAATTAATTTAACTTTAATTTTAACTATAGATAGGGCCTATAATTTGATGTCCATATAAGTGTCATAATAAGCAAAAAGCAAAATTCATCAAATATAGTCTTAAAATGAAAATTTTAAAGCTGATACACCTATATCTTGTAATTGTGTTTTTGTTTGCAGATGGAGAACATCATTGGAACAGTAAGAGATTCCAATCTGAAGCTCACACTTGCTTTCGGAATAGGAATGCATCATGCTGGCCTACATGAGAGAGACCGAAAAACAGTAGAGGAACTATTTGTGAACTGTAAAGTACAGGTACCTTTTTTCCTCCCATGAACACATATTTAAATGTAACTTAAATGTTACATTTTACTTATATATACTATCTTTTATTTTTTAGGTTCTTATTGCTACAAGCACATTAGCTTGGGGTGTAAACTTTCCAGCTCATTTAGTAATTATTAAGGGAACAGAATATTATGATGGAAAAACAAGACGTTATGTGGATTTTCCCATTACAGGTAATTTTTGAAATTTTACTGAGATACATTTAGCTCATATTTTAGCCTTAATTATTTAAATTTACATGAATTAAAGTTTTTCAGAATTGTTCACATTTAAACATGATGGGCAATTATAAATTTGTTTCCAATGTAAATATTATACAAAATATTGAGCTGTTTTATTTACTTTTACTTACCCAATTTGTTAACAAACATCAAAAACATAACTGGGCTCAGTGCCATGGCTCACACCTGTAATCCTGGCATTCTGGGAGGCTGAGGCAGAAGGATCACTTGAGGTTACAAGTTTGAGACCACCCTGAGCAAGAGCGAGACCCTGATCTCTACTAAAAATAGAAAAAATTAGCCAGGCATGGTGGCACGCACCTGTAGTCCCAGCTACTCAGGAGGCTGAGACAGGAGGATCACTTAAACCCAGCAGTTTGAGGTTGCAGTGAGCTAGGATGATGCCTTCTAGCCCAGGCAACAGAGCAAGACACTATCTCCAAAAAAAGAAAAACCCGTAACTGATGGTTTCGAATTTATATGTTGATAAAAATACTGATTAGTAGCCATTAGTGAACTTTTAATAAATTACGATTAAGCATCATAAGCGTTACAGTGTTTAATTTTAAATGTATTTTACTAGAAATGATACTTCCATGAGACTTCCAAAATCAAAGCATTTGTGCTATAATTTATGCGTGAACAGTCTTATTAAGATATTTTAAAACTTGATAAAAGCATTTTCGGTAGGTTCTGAAGAGGTAAATATAATCAATACGTAGTTCTATTCAATGAATAATACATGCAAAAGCTATATTATTTTTAAATCATTAGTTTCCTCAGAAATTTCTGTAATAAGAAAGAAAGAAATTTTATACCATGGTTGGCAGGAGGGTGAGACCTAAATGGGCCCATTATTCATGGGGAAAAATAATCAAATGACTGCTGAAGAAATTTTTCTGTATGTATTTTACTTAATTAATTAAAATAGTATTATCAATTAAACAGCATTTTAAAGCATTTAACTAAAGGGAATTTTTATCTTTCTTAATGTTATGAATGTTAAGAGAGACCTTTTGGGGAACTCAATTTTCCATCATAGTAACTTGCTTATAAATTTTCTGAGTAAATTATATGGGGAACTCAATAATAGGCATCAGAGATGTCATACATGCTCTTAAAATATTCTATTGTCTTTGTTGTTTTGTTGCGTAGTAGAAGTATGCCATAATCAGTAAATACACCTTCTGCTATGTGCAACATTGAAGAGTATCTCTTACTTTCTCTTTTATAGATGTCCTCCAGATGATGGGGCGTGCTGGGAGGCCTCAGTTTGATGACCAAGGCAAAGCTGTAATTCTGGTTCATGACATAAAGAAAGACTTTTATAAAAAATTTCTTTATGAACCTTTCCCAGTAGAATCAAGGTAAATTTTTTTTTAATTTGTTTGAAGAGATTCATTTCATAGAAATTTGATGTTTTTATGGTTATATTTTAGTAGATAAAAATTGGTAAAACTTACAGTTTAAAAAAACTATATGATGTGAAAATAAATGTAATTACCACTATATGACAACATTAAATTATAACTTTCAGTTAAATAAGAACAGTATACCACAGTGTTCAGTCACAATGGCTTTGAAGCCAGATGACCTAGGTTAAAATCTGAAGCTCTACCATTTACTTGCTTGATCTGAAGCAAGTTATTTAACTCCTTACTGCCTTGGTGTACCTGTGGTAAAATGGAGACCCATAATAATATTGGCCATTTCATAGAGTATCTGTAATGATCAAATGCATAGTGCTTAGAACAGTGTCTACCACATAGTAAGCGTTTAGTATAGTAGTAGTTTGGTAAGACTTTTTATAGTGTAGTTAATAAATAAATACACAAAATAAAGGGGCATGTAATGATTTAGGCTGCTGGCTTATTTCAGAATTATTCCATACTTCTTTTTGGATCCAGTAACTACTGCCCCTTTCATAAAGTCTTCTTGCCTTTTCTCAGCTGAGACTTATGTATTTTTTACCTATCACTCTTATCACTCTCTGCCTTTTATCATAATACTTTTCTATGTACTATATCTCCTTTACTATATTCTAACTGCATTGAGGACAAAACATGTTTATGATTTATACTGTAAATAGTTTTTTATTTATAAATGCTAATAATATTAACTTTTTTAAAAACTGGAAAATGTGAGAACATTAAATGTTGTGGGATACAGTAACACTGTGCTAAAAGAAAATTTATGACCATAAATCTGTATATTAAAAAAATGAAAAATCAATGATCTAAGTATTCAACTCAGGAATTTAGAAATAATTAGGAAATTGAACTCAAAGAAAGGAAAAGATAAAGAGCAAGAATTAATGAATTGAAAATAAACATACATTAAAGAAAAATCAACAACACTAAAAGTTGGTTCTTTACAAAGGAACCATGAATAAAATTGATAAAATTTTTAAGTTTAAATATTAGGAATGGAAAGATACTCAGACTAAAATGATAATAAAATATGAACAACTTTATATAAATAATTTTTAAAATTTAGATCAAATAGTAAAATTTCTTTTAAAAATTACTTGAACTGACACAAAAAGAAATAGAAAATCTAAATAGTCTCTTATCAAAGCAGTTGAATCTGAAGTTTAAAATCTTTCCAGAAAGAAATCTGACCCAGATAATTCACTAGTGAATTCTTCATAATATTGAAGGGAGAAATAACATCAGTCTTACCTGAGCTCCTGCTAATAATAAAAAAGATAGGAATACTTGCCAACTTGTTTTATAAGACCAGAAATAACTTGGATACTAAAACCTGGTAAGAAATTTACAAGAAAGGAATGTTAACAAACCTGTTTCATGAATAAGATATAGAAATCCTAAACATTAGTAAATCAAATTCAGCAGTGTATCAAAACATACTACAACCAAGTGTAGTTCATTCCATAAATGCAAAGATGATTTATTATCTGAAAATAAATGAATATAATTAATCACATTAACAAAAAACAGAAAAATTATAGAATCATCTCATAAGATGAAAAGCATTTGATAAAAGTCCACACCCATTCATAATAAAATATCTTAGCAAGCAGGATTATAATGGAATGTTCTTAATCTGATAAAGAGTTTATATAAAAAAATCTGTGAGCATCATAATTAATGAGGAAATATTGGAAGCTTTCACTTTGAGATAGGGAAGGATATAGGGATGTTGCTTTCACCACTTAAAATAAGCTTTGTGCTAGAGGCCCACGTCACTGCAATAAGGTAAGAAAAAGAAATACATCAGAATATTCTTTTGAGCAAGATAGTGACTAGAAAAGCGTAACAAGAGGACTTCTGGGGCACTGGCAATGTTTGATATTGATGTTGGTTACACAAGTATGTTGACATTGTGAGAATCAATTGAGTTAAACATGTCTAATTTATGTAATTTTCTCAGCACTTCTGTAAAAAGTTAACTAAAATTTTACCTTTATGTGACCATTATTAATATTTTATCTATTACAGAGTATTCCACAGTTTGTTTAGTCATTTCTCTATTAATGTGCATTTAAAGAATTTTCAATTTTCTCCTCTTACGTATAATGTTGCAGTGAAATATTTTGCTTCCTTATACTTACATGTCAATGTTTCTCTAGCAGATCATAATGAAAAAGTGAAATTATTGGGTCATAGTGGTTATTCAAATAGATATTGTCAAATTGGTCTTCAAATTGACTGTACCCACTTATAAATACCCATTTAGTATACTCTGCTACAGGTGAATTGAGGATAACATAGCAACTTTTTTTAAATTTGACTTATTATGGCCATTTTCTCATGTCCTTTGCAAAAACTATTTTTAGTACCTGCATGTTATTCCATGTATCATACTTTCATTTAGCCTTCTTTTTTGGACATGAAACATTTACTATTCCAGTCTTTCAGCACATCTGATTATCTTTTATACTCTACAACACCTAATACAATAATGTCTTCTGTGATTGGGTACTTTAATAGTTATGAATGAATGAAAGGAATATCTTTGCTCACTCCTCTATTCTAACTATCATCCCTTTCTTACCAACCATCCTTTAATCTGCCTCAGTAATTATTTCATATTTACTCCAATAAATCTTAAGTATATGCTTCTCTATTCTCCAAGGTATCCTTCTGTTACCTGCTCTTACCCTAACTCTCTTGACTTTCATCTTCTCCTCCTAAGAGTTACTATTCCCTTCCTGTCAACTTGTGTTTATCTTCCACCTAGCAATTTATTTCTCCGAAATGATTTATAGCAATAAATACTATCTATTGAGTACATATCATATGGCAGGTACTAGTGAACTTATTCTGGAAAAATTTAGTTATGGTAGTATTTTTGTGACATTTTCTTTCTGATTAGCCCACTTTTTTAATTCACGTTAAAGTGGAAATATAATTTTCTAAAAGAAAACAGGAACATAAATATATATGCATTGGTTAATAATATAGGTTCTGAAGTTCATGATATTAAGTGATTTATAGACTTATGGTAAAAGTACATTGAAAACAAATTTCCACTAAATAATCCACAAATTATATAAAATTATATATTAAATATATAAATCGTACAAAACACATTTGTTTTGTGTCTTAGAACATAAAATCTGAATCTTGACTATGTAAGGTAAGTTTGAATGTGTTTAGTTTAATGTTCATTTATGTTTCCTGCGTCTTGTCACTATATAGCTTATTAGGAGTGCTCTCTGACCATTTGAATGCTGAAATTGCTGGTGGTACAATAACATCTAAGCAAGATGCACTGGATTATATCACCTGGACTTACTTCTTCCGACGTCTTATCATGAATCCCAGGTAAATGCAGGACTTCTTTAAAGGGCAATTATTTACCTTCCTGTTTTGTACCGAAAGAAAATATATTTGAAAGTAATAAACTCCACTTTCAGGTACATATGAAAAATTCGTATCTTTGGACATTCTAGATATATGAATTTGCCCAGAGAATCAGATAATATATCTGATATGATTTCAGTGTATATTAGAAAATAAAGAAGTATATGCGTTTATAACTTAACTTACTTTAATTACCTCAGGATAGCCTGAGGAGTTTGTGCTCTAGTTGTGAGACAAGGCACCTGAAGTCATTAAGTAATGTGCTAAATTACAGAGAATTGACTGACTTAGGTGCAGTTGGAATTTAGAGAAGAGTGAGGTTTGTAAAGTTGTAGGTGGAAAAATTTGTGGGACTTTTGTAAGAGTTAATAAGAACGCTGCAAGAGAAAATAAAATTGCCTTTTACTCCAGGCAATGTGTTAGATCTTCATTTAGCACCTATTTGTCAGATGTTATACTAAACACTGAGGCATAAAGATGAGTATATCATCCCTTGTCTTCAAGGGTTGATCTTTTAGTGCAGGAAAAACAGAAATAAGTCATTACAAGGTAAATCATAAATGATCTAGTAGAACAGTTATTTAAGCCTATGAGAGTGTCAGCTTCACAGAAGAGGTGACACTTCATCCAAATCTTCAATCAAGAAGAGGAATGGGAAAGGTGGAAGACATTTCAGGCTGAAAAATACTATAAGGGTAAAAATCCTTAGGGCTTGAAAGAGTCATCAATGTTTAGAGAATAAGAAAAAGTTTGATGTAGCCAAAGCTTAAGGAGAATGGAGATGAGAAGATTGTCTTCACCAGAAAGTGAGCCAAACACCAGAGGGTAAAGGGCCTGCCCGTACGCAGTGCTAAGGAGTTTGCATCTGATTCTACTGGCTGTGGTAAGCCATTGGAAGTTGTTAAACATATATTAATATCATCAAATTAGATTTTGTTTTGTTTCAATATTTATGGCACTATGGTAGGGAAGAGTGGGAACAGGAAAAAATTACAGCAAGACCAGTTAGGAAGCTGTTTAATAATAGGAGAAAGATGATGAGGACCTTGAAGAATGCAGAGGGAATGGAGGGAGGGTAAAATCTGAGGGACATTCCTGATGTAAGTAAGAGAAAATATTATAAACTGTTTTATGGTTTTAAATAGAGAAGTCATGATGAAACTGTTATTACTAAATTTTGCTTGTCAAGGTATTCCTTAAGAAATTTATTTTCAGCCAACATTTTCTCTTACAGACATAGGAATTTGAGAACATGGTGATGTTTTGCTCAGAGTTTCCTCAACTGTTAGCGCATCTGGATTAGTACGAAATATTCTTTGAAAACATGGCTGCAAAGCTAGTGAGATAACCATCCAGAACTGAACATTTACCACAGTCAATAGTTTATGGGGTTAGAACTGTAGAATAGACTTTACATGTATTCTAGTCCAACCTTCTTATTTGATATTGAAGAAACGGAGGCTGGACATGTAAAATAACTTGTCCTGGATCCCATAACTACTTTGTGATAAAGCCAGATCTTAAAAACCCAGGTTTTCTGATTTATAATCTAGAACTGTTTGGGTTTTTTTTTTTTGGCGGGGGTGCAACTGTATATGTATTTATCATTCTTGTAACATAAGAATTGAGGCATTTAAAGTGATGGAAAGAGCTTCGAGCTTGGAATCAAAACACTGATTCTTGTTTCAGCACTATCCTTTACTAACTGGCGACCTTCGGTAACTTCACCTCTCTGAGCTAGACTTCCTTTATCTGGAATATCTGGAAACAGAGTAATAGCCTACCTACTTCACTGGATCATATTGAGAATTAAATAAATGAATTAAGTGCATTCTAGTTCTATATTAATTATGAAAAACATAATTCATGTCAATTAGTGAGCTGTTATCCTGTACTCTCTGCCTGCTGCTTTATTGGTCTATATCATCCCAGGGAGTCTAGTTTAGAGACTAAGAACCTAATCATTTCAGTTAGTTTGTCTAATTAATACAGAAATAATTCTGAGGCCAGTTGAGTTCTTTAGCAAATTATAGTAGTTCCTTGCCACAGATACATTGCCCTTTGTTTGTACATCTCCCT